GAAGGAAGGAAGGAAGGAAGGGAAAGAAGGAAAGAAGGAAGGAAGGAAGGAAGGAAGGAAGGAAGGGTAAGGAAGGAAGGAAGGAAGGAAGGAAGGAAGGGGACAAGGCAAACAGACACAACCTAACAAAGGTCGCCCAGCTGGCATCAGTCAATCCCTAGGAGAGACTAAAGTAATGCAGGGGCTATGGCCCTGAACCAGTAAGAAAGAAGTACTTCTTTATAATTATACTTGTTATGTAATGTTAGTATCAACATAACAAAGGCCTGAGATTTCAGACAAACTGAAGCCACATCCTTCGAGTGTCCTCTAAGAGAACTGTGACCCTATCAGGAAGTCAGTCTGGGGCATTGCTGGGTTCTTAATTCCTAACTCTTGTGTGTCTACAAAGACACACACAGAAAGGGAGGGCAGCGCAAGTGCCGATGAAGAGTGACCATGCTCACTCTGTACATCTAGTTGCATCTGATTATTCAAATCATACACAGCATTCCCATATTCTGTCTTACTTTACTTTTTTGCAGGAAAGAGAGCTTAAGGTGTATGAAAATTAACTCATTTGGAATTAGGCATCCATGAGCTGATGGTATAATTACAAAGTCAAAATAAAACACTGATGACTCTGAAACTCAGGAAAAGAAACAGATACTGAATATAAGAAACACATCTAAAAGTTACATGTCTAAGGATCTAACATCATACACATTCCACAGAAGCAGATTTACAAGTCAGCCCTAACTCTAGAACATACCACTGTTTCAATACACCCCAGAGCACAGGGGATTATGTCTAATGCTTACAAGGGGACACAGGTAGAGGACTGAGCATGTGACACTCAGGAAGAGTCTAGGCACAAGACATGTGGGGCAACAGTCAGCCCCATGAAGGACCTTATGAAAACAGGAAAGGGTTAGCACCGTCATGAAGACTGGAGAGTCACAGGAGCTCCTTACTCACAGGAGGCAAGCCCTGAAGGAGGGTTATCAAGTATAGAAAGAACTTCTGGATGGTCTCAGAGGCAGTGGCAGTGGTAGACAGGGGGAGCAGGTGAATTTTTCCCTGGACATTGTGGCACCGTTAATCAAAACTACTCCAGGAAGAAAAGGCAAGTATGATATGTCCTTCATTTAGGTGGAAATGGCAGGGAGGAGGCTGAAAGCCATGCATTTTAGATCAGACATGTAATGCAGGACACTGGGGATGGGGTGCCTAATGACCCAGAGCTGAGGACAGCAGCAGAGTGCGCATGTACAACAGACCTGTTTTACATGAGTTCAGAACCACACTCAGATACAGCAGAAGATATCATCTTTGAGGAATGGATTTGGGAGAGATCTAGAAATGGAGAGAAAGGGGTGGGGTGACAGAGAGCAAAAACATTCAATTGGGTAACTGGAAGAATAAGGTTGATTTTCAGAAGAACAGCTTCCTGTAGAGGGAGGTGTAATAGATACTGAAAGGTTCTGCAGAATGAGTGATGAGGATGGACGGGCAAGGAACATGGACTTCAAGGCTGGCAGAGAAGAGGAGGCTGGAGAAAACTGGCTTTAGCATAGGAGGGTATGTGAGCATCTCTATAGACCGCAAAAATAAACCAGCATACAATTCTTTGCATAATTCTGTACTAATCATAAATCCAGTTGTTTTTCACCTTAAAAAATCTTCTAAAATAAAAATTAACAATGTTAAATTATATACATTTTATAACTTAATACAAACATAAAAGCATTACCATTTTATGACAAATTTTATTTCTAAAGATCTGTACAGTTTTTGTGACTAGACTTCTTCAGGATGATTTTTGACTCTAGTATCATGAGATATTAAATATTATTAACAATTTCTGCTTTAGTTCCAGAGTAATTACTGTGATATAAAAGATTACATTGAAATAGTTAAGCATACCTTCATCCTCAGCCCTCCTTCCCCAAAGACAGGCATCTTTAGGGTAGTTAACAATTTGGACAGCATTTTTTAAGAGAAAAATTAAAAATAGTCTTCTATTATTATGTTCTTAAAGGTCTAATTTTTTTCACAATAAACATGCTTATTTTTTATTATATACACATGCATACATATGAAATTCCTGCCTAAAATACATGCAGCCACCATTAAAACCAAATGATCAGCCCATCCTCACAACCCTAAGAATGCCCTTTTAGTAAGGCACTCGTGTTTAGAATTAGGATGTAACTACCAAATTAAAGAAGACTTTTATTAAGCACAGACAACTTTTAATACATTATGAATACAATAGGAAAATGTCTTTCAATTAATATGATATATCAAAGATCTGAAGGGTTTTCTTCATATAGACAATAAAAAATAATCAAATTTTAAGAATTACAAAGTAAAATTTTGAGGACACCACTATCCACTAACAGTCTAACTATGGTCTAAATATTCTACATCACCTGGGGAGGAAGGGCAATCGTGTTTTTGTAGAGAATTCCTAAACTCCGATTAGCACCATTCAGAAGCTTATTATCAGTTGTTCATCTACAAACTGACAAGTCAGGTCAAGCATGAAAGCATGGACTCAGTGCAGTGTTTACAGTTCCTTCTTCTAAGATACCTGGAGTCTACAGCATCAAAGCGTGCTATGTGATTATGCCTCGGTAGCTGAGAGGTGTTAGCATTTAGAGACGTGTTGTGGGAAGGAAGAAGGCTTATCCTGCTGGGAAATTCATCTTAGTGAGCTGTGGCTATCACAGCAGTATGCCAACAGCAAAGACATGTGGGCATATGACCTGCAGATCTGTGGGAGCTGCGGACATTAGCTTTCCGAGGTCACCATTTCGGGATGTCTCAGCTGCTGCCTTTTGAGACTGACCAGTTTCATTCTGTCTCTGATGTGTTCTGCAGTAGAAGCCATGTCACTTGGACTCCCAAAATATTGTTCAGTTCTAAAATCAGAACACATGGAAAACACACAGGTTAATACAAATTCATTTAACTGTAACAAGTGCATAAAAGCAAATGTTATCATAAAATGTGATACAGCCTATGAGCAGAAATTAGTTTATTTGCACCTGGCACCCAGTCTGCTGGGATTGCTGCAGATAAATCATATGACATTAAGCTACTTTTGAAAGTTCAAATTCAGATATCCCTAGAGATTTTTCTCAGTATAGACTATGAGTAATGTTCTTCCAAGGGAAAAAACTGTTAATTTTTTTTCAATATGAATTCCAAACACCCACTAGAAGTTTGTGACACAGCAGTATGTCTTTTGTGTCACATATCTAAGTTCTTTCTATACATTGGCTCCAGGATGCCCCTGTCCCACCCTTGATCTGAAAAAGCACAATTACTCCACCCTGTTATCAAGTGTGGGAACCAAGACACAGAGCTGAAGTCACTGCTAGGAAATAAGAAAAGGAGCCGAGACACTGGGCTCCAGCCTCGGTATTCTCCTCCATCATGTGAGCACAAAGCAAGGATACTTTGCTTCTATTTGATGGCTTGTTTTCTCTATTGTTTGAATTAACTTCCTTTGCACTACCTCTCAGTGACCCAGTGACAAGGTCTAGATCTCCAGCGATCCAAAGACTCTTGATTCTTTTCCTGGCTTGTTGATTTTGACATCAGGTCGTCCCACATTGGAAATAGAAAAGAAGGTGCAGATCAGGGCCTGATGACCTTCCCCATGACAAATCTCAGATGCCTTAGGGCCCATGAGAAGAAGACAGGTCTGGAGCCGGATAGACTTGAGACTGTCCTAACTCCAGCACCTGGAAACTATAAAATGCTGGTCCTCTTACTAAATTGGAGCCTCCGTTCCTTCAGTTCTAAGTCACGAATAATCACGCTGGCCTGGATCTATCTGGTCTAAGCAATGAAGGTAAAGAGTTGAAGCTGCTTGATTGGTGTATCTTAGGAGCTCATAGGTCTCAGTCCCTTCCTGACCCTCCCCATTCTGAATGGGGCCGAAAATCTCACAACTCCCCATTGTCACAGCTCAGGCTAGAAGTCCACGTCTCAAAATAATCTGCAATCGTCCATCTATAAGTTGTCAAGAACATTAGCAAACACCATCACTGATGCCAACAGCTGGATTGGGACTTCTTTCAAGTTAAACTGATTTATTGTAGGAGTTGAAAATGTGGACCAAAATGAAAGTGCTTGGCCTTCTGAAGAACATATTTTCTTCTCTCAATGATTTAACTTTTAAATGATAAGAACATGCACCATACCCATCGGGGTAAACCACCGGGACAGTGAGTCTATCCAAAAGTGACTTCCCAACGGCTTCAATTTCCTCAAACTGCTCCTCATCATTAATTGCTTCAGGCTCTTCTGGACAGTCTTGCAAAATCTGTAGCAAACAAAAGGGGTAGTACCAATCAAAACTGCGAAGGCAATCAATCCCACTTGACCTCTGTCAGTTGAAGAAGGTGTTCTGGTTCCATGCTTAGTATCCTGCTGTGAGTATCAACTACACGAGACTGAGCTATGACTGCCATAAGTATCAACTGTACGAGACTGAGCTGTGGCTGATGAAGAAATTCTCATCACAAATGAGCAAAAAAAAGCGTATCTCTGGTAACAATATATAATCAGGAGTACAAAAAAAATCTCTGGTGATTTCTAGGAAAGAAATAATGGAATGCTATTTGGAAAATGAATAGAACTCATGGCTAAGAAATAGTGTCTAGCTTATTAGACAACCATTTACTAAACATTTAATGAGATGTTTACTTAGCAAAGCAGAGTGTGAATGTCAGACTCTGTTCTTAAGGAGTTTATAGACTTCAAAACTCAAAGAAACTGTAAAACCACAACCAACATAGTGTGTGCAAACGTAACTGACATGCAGATCTGCTGATTTCACTGGTTATAATTCTAATATAGAAAGCTCTACCATTTCAAAGACATTTCATTCTCTTTTTTTAATTTAAAAACTCAAGATTTGGATTCAAACTAGGATATTTTTCAGTTATGTTGTACAATTTGCTTATAGTCATAGTCGAGCTCATGCTTATCTTCTGAAAGAAAGCAGTCAAGAGGAGAAATAGTACATGACGACAAAGAGCTTTATTTAAGTTTGCTCAATAAAATGGGCCATTATAAGCAAGATGAAGGCCAGGGATGAAAAACAAACAAACAAACAAAAAACCCCCAAACAAAAACACCAACTTTCTATTTTAAAATCTTGTAACTATATGTATTTTTATATACCTTTTAAAGAATTCTCAATTTAAAAATACTCTCACATTTAAAAATAGTCTCCTAAAATGTCATCTGTGGGTTAGGAAGTTGTGTGATTCTCTTTTGATAGAGGCAGGGTACTGGGCCAAGACGGGGTGGGACTTCAGGCCCTGCACGGGCACATGCACCCTGTACAAGCCCATTAAGCACAACAGTTAAGGTCTATACTTTTCTGGATGAGTAACACAGTTTATAATAATGGAAAATGCTCACTGAAATCATCAGGAGATAAACAAGTCAAGCCATCTTCTGTAGCTGAAGGTTTTTTTTTTCTGGTCCTGTCCAGCCCCATAGACCCCACAGCCACTTATAAAATAATCATTTAAAAACTTATATTAAAGGCCGGGCGGTGGTGGCGCACGCCTTTAATCCCAGCACTCGGGAGGCAGAGCCAGGTGGATCTCTGTGAGTTCGAGGCCAGCCTGGGCTACCAAGTGAGTCCCAGGAAAGGCGCAAAGCTGCACAGAGAAACCCTGTCTCGAAAAACCAAAAAAAAAAAAAAAACTTATATTAATTAAAATTGTTTGACCATTATCTCAGGCCTACCACTGACTAGCTCTTAAACTTAAACTCAGCCCATTTTTGTTAATCTATATATTGTCTCATGTTCCATGGCTTTACCTGTGTGCCATGACATGTTGCTCCCTAGATGGCAGGCTGGCATTTCCTGACTCAGCCTTTTTTTTTCCCCCCAGAATTTTCCTTGTCTGTTTGTCCCGCCTATACTTCCTGCCTGGCTACTGGCCAATCAGCTTTTTATTTATCAACCTATCAGAGCGACACATTCACAGCATACAGAGCGACATCCCACAGCAACCTTCTATACTTTCTCTATCCTCATTAGGCCTCTGTCTGTCTATTGTCTGACTAGGGCTTCTCTTACTCAGCCTACCCTTGAACTCGGGATCTTCCTGCTTCAGTTTCTGGAGTACTGTAACTATAGGTATGGACCAACACATAGGTATGGACCAACATACTCAATGTCATTGGGCCCATTTTAACAAAAACACCAGTCTGCGCAGTTCAGCAAGCAAGTGAGAGAATCAGCTACATCATTTTCAATAGTGTGCTTCAAAAACAAAATCCTGAGGTACCCTGTCACATCTGTTTGCTCCGAATTCCTGAGGCTCCCTGTCACATTTGTTGATCCTGAGATGAGGCTATAACTTAGGCTTTCCACATATTACTGCATATTTTAAATCTGCATATAAACTCCCACTGTAAGAGATCAACACAGAATTAACTACCTAATAAAACTTCCTTCTTGAATGGGCATGTACTCAGTATCACCACTGTGAAGAGAAATGGGTTCTGACAAAAATTTGCCCAAATAACACGACTATTTTTATTATTGGCTTCTCTAACTAATGACATAAAACTATGGAGAAATAAATTCTAGAATGAATCTTTAAAAATAATCATGGAACAAAGGTTTTGTTTTTAGTTTCATTAGTTTACTTGGCCAGCCTTTACCCTGAATTATGAAATCACCAAGTAACTTTTAAAACCTTTCTGACAATTACTACAGACATAGTTCCAAAATAGTTTCCTTTCTTGGCCTAATGAAAGAGCCTGACAAGGTGATGGCGGAGTGCAGAGAGAGACCTGAACCTTGACTGGCCTGGGAGGGGCAAGGAGAGACGAAGCCAGGACCCCTATAGCTCTGTAGTCCCCTGGCCAAGCACTCTAGCCTCAGGAGACTTAGTGTAGACACTTTGAGATAATACATACTCAATGAACCTTAGCAACAAAATGGATATGAACAGTAACACATAGATTAATGATATAATTACATTATTCCAACTAACATTTTAAACATTTGCAATGAATACCACCAAGGAAACATTTTGTTGTTGCTGTTATTTAGACTTTAAAAGAGAATACAATGGGGCTGGAGAGGTCTCAATGGTTAAAAACACTGGCTACTTTTCCAAAGGACTTGGGCTCAATTTCTAGCACCCACATGATGATGCAAAACTGTCCACAGCTGCAGTCCCAGGGGATTTGACACCCTCTTCTGGCCTCTGCAGGCACTGTACTGCATGTGGTGCACAGACTTAAATTCAGGCAAACACACACACACACATTCAAAAAAAAAATCTCAAAAATAATTCTGTTTAAGATTCTGCCTACCTTTTCAGCATTTGAGTGAAAAGCAATAGCCATTTCCAACCTATGCACTCTCTCTTCAGATGCTACTGTGAACTGCTTCCACACTCGGTTCAGTCGAGGAAGTGTGTCCCCTGAGGACCGGGAAGTACAGCGCAAAGACTGGCACAGAACGACCGTGGCCTGCAGCAACTGTCTGCCATAGTCGTAAGTACTCTAGGGAGGAAACCCACCGGGTTAGAACACAAGCAACTGGTAAGGAAGGAGGTCGGGAGACTGTGTGGCACCACTGTCCATCTGCACCACATGGATCCAGTGGCCTGTCAGCAATCTGCAAACACAATTAACAAATCAGGGCTCTTTCTTTAAACTTCTGTCCTTATTCTGTGCTCGCCATTTCAGCCGGCTAAATTCCACTAGCCAAAAAGAATGTCAGCTCTGATTACCAAAGAGAAGGGGTGAAGTGAGCTTTCCCACACTACATATAGGAAAGTAAGTATGACAGTGTGAATTCCGCATCAGGGAAAATACACAAACATACTCTCAATCCCAGAACAACTCTGTATTGCTATGCTAATTCTAGTGATACACTGGGAATGTTGCTTCTAATCTGCTGTCACTAACAAGACCTCACAGTAATTCTGTCAACTGCCTGATAGTCTAAATGGCACAGCATATAATACAGAGCAGAGGGAGCCCAGAGACCCTACACTTGGGAGTCAAACCCTCTTGAGTCCAGTCTCGGTACACCAGCTAGCATTTTCTCAGCTCTGTGTAACAGAACTGACCTTCTTAGACTTGGAAGGTTAAGTTACACCATCATCTGCAGAAAGCCATTCACACACTGTCCTTGAAGAAAAGAAGACAAGGTCTGTACCTGTGCAACATCAACAAATTTTCGATGTTTTTCCAGTAACACCTTCGTTTCCTGAGCATCATCACCCAATCTGATGTGGGTCTTCAGCAGGGCATCCAGAAGTTCACTTAACCACTCTACTGCCTAAGGAACACACAGAATAAAACTGGACTCATAATTCTTTCCTTGTGGTGAAATACCAGCTCGGTGCAAAAATGACCTCTGTGTGATTAGTTAGCTCTTTAATCATAACCCCAGTTTTAGCATTCATCTGATGCCATGTTCTACGAACTAATGATCTCTCCGGCTTCTCAAACTGCTGTCTCAAATGTCAAGGCAGGACCTACTGAGGAGATGTGCTAGTATCACATGATATAGGGCCATGGGTCCCTGTAATACAGTTCTGCTGGCATCTCATTACAGATGCGCATTATGACTTAAAATCATAACTTCTCTCTGTCCTTCAAGATTTTCTGATACTAAATACATGATTACATCAAGTTGCTTATGCAGCACTGAGAATTCCCTTGTGGAATAGAAAGCAATGTTCTTCACCAGCCTTCATTCCAGGACAGAACTAACATCACCATTAATAATAATAATTAATAAATATTCCCAGTCTCAAGCTCAACAGAGGATTTCACTGGCAGGGTGAGTGTAATGAGATCAGTAAACTGACTGAAATACCAAGCTTTATTCTCTACAGGAGACATAAGGTCTAGATGTAATAAACTGGCTTTCTTAGCACCACAGGAGTCCACTTTGTTCACAGTTAAGAGAACTTAATCTCCTAAATTAGCTCACAAAGAACTTAATCTAAGCTAACTTCCTATGGGGCTGACCAGGCCTTACCTGAGAAGCATCCTCTTCACATTTAAACAACTGCACCATCTGAAGCATCTTCAGCCTCCGCACGTCTACCATGTCCTCACATCTAATAAACCAAACACAAACTCGGCTTAGTATTCTGGCCTCAGTGAGCTACAGCATCATCATCTGACACGCATGTTTAACAATACACTAAGAAACTTAGTCCTATGCTATGGTACTGCAACTATTTTGTACTGACTTGTCAGAAGTTTATGAATATCTAATCTATTATCTATGTTACGTCAAGACCTCAAAATACCTGGAATGATACTGAATGACAAACCCTCTTGAGGATAGCATGGATTCTGCAAAATATTGAAGCAAAGAATAAACTCAATGGTCCACCAAAAACCAAAGAAACCTCCATCACCAACTTTATTAAACAAGCTTCAAAGATAAAAGTATAAAAGTTCAGAGGATGATGCTCCATGGAAATGTAATACATTTTGTCAAATTATATTATCTAGGATAATACTAAGTTTTGAATAAAATTGTATACCTATACCTTTTAAGAAAAAATAACCCACATATCTTTTGAATTAAGACAAACCCAGTGCAGAACATGGCTTAATCTCACTGTGGTCTGCATAGATAATATACAAACAGTGTCTTGGTATAACTAAGATATGATCCATTTCCTTCGTCCCCATGCAGTTCCATGTGCGAGAGGCAGGAAAGGGACTCTGGTAAAGTCCCACGCATCAGAAACAGGTAACCCACTAGGCCCCAGGGTCTAGAGTCAGTGTTCCCGAGGAAAGTCTAATGATAACACAGAAGCAGCTTCTAACAGGCTACTTTAAAATGCAGATTTCTCAGTCACAGCCTAATGTTACAATGCAGCTTATTTAAGGTAAGTCTACAAGTGACAGAAGAGAAATAATGATAATTATTTCTCAGATCTAAAGCAAAACATGTAAAACACCTTAATGATGAAGATGATTGCCACATTAAGCTCAATACATACTGTGTGTCATTAGGAAGACAAGACAGTTTGGCTTAGTTTAAATTATACCATCTAAACACACAGGAGTCAGATTAGAAAATGTTTATGGGAAATGAACTTTAGTTGGTAAAATGGCAAAAACGGTTACATATCCATGTGAAACACTTTGCGGGGGTGCAGAGGAACAAGTGACTCACTGCCTAGCATAAGCATCCACCAGACAGAGAACAAGGAAAAAAAAAAAAGTCATGGATGAATGAAAAACACAAGCTATTTAAGAAACTAAAAGCAACTGCAATCCTGTGGGAAGTCACAGGATGCTAAGAATGCAGAGCAGAAGGTGTTCTCCTACACTGTCCTAAGGACACAACTCCATCTCCATCTCAAAAGACGGGCCTGGTGCAATTCCACCCTGCACACCTGTCCTGAGGAGAGCAGTCCACAGTCAGCCACCTCTGGCCAGCTTCTCTCACCGAAATTCAAGCCTCCACACCCCATGGAAGACATGATGATATGAGACCTTCGAGGCCCCACAACTATCCTTTTGGTTGTGAACCAAAGGCTGACAAAGATTATTACTTTAAGATGGATAATGGTGGAAATGACCACCAGTTATCATGATGAGTCGGTATAGACACGGAGGCTAAAGATGAATTTCATGTGGCTGAAACAGAAGCGATGAATCACAAGGCAGACCGAGCACAGTAACAGTGGCAACTATGACAAGATTTACACACCCATCAGCGGGTGCTTCTAAGGACATCAGCGGGTGCTTCTAAGACTTAAGGTCTTCCGGTTCCTGTGTGGTTCAGGGCCTGTGCACATTAGTGGACAGTGCCTAGTAGCACAGAGCCAAGATATCCAGTCAAAGGATGGAGAGGAGCAGGATGGCAGCTCCTTGTTACCCTGGAAGCGGTAACAAGGTTCCACAGAAAAAGGTAAACCTCGATGAGGAGAAGGAAACTGAAGAGGCAGCTGCAGGGAAGGGATCTGTAGGAGCTCCTCCAGCCAAAACTGCAAAAAAAGTCAAACCAGAATGGAAAAGACGAAACCATCGACACCAAGATCAAAAGGCCAGGAATCCAAAGAAAGCCAACCAACCAACCAACAACCAACCAAACACACAAACACAAAGAAGAGGGAAAACAAAACAAAACAAAAACACCCAAATGACCTAGTTCTGTAGAAGTCATTAAGGCAAGAATATAAGCAAGTACAGAAAAGAAGGGTTCTCTTCCCAAAGTGGAGCCAAGTTCATCACATATGTGAAGAATTGCTTCCGGATGAGTAATCAGGAAGCTCCTTGAGTCTCTGGCAATAGAGGAAGCCTCTTTAAGAAAACAGTTGAAACACTTTGAAATATTCTTACTTTATTGCCGTAGCAGCTGATATCTGGCTGTCTTTTTTATAATTTGAAGTGAAGACTGCCCCCTCCCCCCCCCTCCCTCCACTGTGTTTGGTAAATGTTGACCAGATTTCATTGCCAAAAATGTTCTGTTTTGATGCCTGCTTCATTTTCAAGGATGAAAATGGACTTGGCTTTAAACAGGCATGGAATGTTAGGACAGGGCACAGTAATAGTGGTGGGGAGACAAAAATAAGGTGTGAAAACCCCTCAGTATTCTAATAATCGAAACAAGAGTCAAAGGCTTCATCCAATCCTTGTACTTGTGTAGATTACTCTTGTCTGCAACAGCCTGATGAGCAGCAAGACTCAAGGTAGAAAAAAGAAAATCTTGGGCATCTGAGATAAGTTTAAATTTAGAGATAAATTCTAAATTTGGTAGCTCACAGCAACTTGAACTAAGAAAGAGAGAGAGCAAAGTTTAGGAGAAGATGAATCTGATCCAGGCACAGTAAGTTGGAGGAGAATGTGGCACATCTAGCTAGAGATCCTCCAGAGGCAACCCAAGACAGGGAGGTCTTGGTAACTAGCATAACATGAGCACGCAGGGCAGACTCAGGGAGAACACTCAGAGAGGAGAATGATAGCACACGGCCTGGAAGCCACAACTTTAGCAATAGAAAGAGAAAACAGGAGGGACAGAGCCAAGAGGGTGTTTTGAAGGAAGACACAGTTGTCACAGACTTTCAAAGAGAGAGTACCAACTATGTCCAATGCTATTTAGAATCAAGCGGGTCAGATCTGAAACAGCCCAAATTTTCCAAGATTGGGTTTATTACATACAGTGATTAGAAGTTACTGACACTGGAACAAGCAAACAGAGAGGCAGGGAGGGCAGAAAGGAGAATATAGAGGGATAGAAAATAAACTAGAGGAAGTAAGGAGCACAGGTTAGACCTGCAAATGACTGAGCTGGGAGGACAAGTGGTGACATCAGATGACAGTGGGTGAAGAGCAAGCCGCTCTCCTTCTGTGACAATTCTACGTGTACAATCACCTATTACACTTCATACTGGAGAGAGCTAAGCATCCACAGGAGGAACTAGAACCAGGGTGGAGAACAAATATTGCTAGAGTAAGAAGCCAGGGCCCAGATGAGGACTCACCCTAGAAGCTGACAGAGCTATCACACCCCGCCTTAAGGACACTGCAGGTCCAGGACAGGATGCAACAGGGATTCCTGCCTTGTGACTCTTCATGGTTAGAGTGGAAATGTCTGGGAAATTCTTCTCATGACTTAAGTTTCCAAGTGCGCAAAATTCCATACAACCAGTGCCAGAGTACGCATCTGTGCCCCTTCTTGCCTCTGTAATTTTAATCTTGTACTTTCTAACACTTTCAGGTCGTCATTATAGACTGAGTCTCTAAAAAGCCTTAAGTTCCTGTTAGTCTATCAAGTGGAAAAAAAAAAACCAATGCCAGCCCATTGTCTAATCCTACAACCAACACAACAATGGATATGTTGGATATGTGACCTAAGAGATGAGACGAAGAGACAACAGGGTAAGGTTTAACAGAATTCTAGTGGAAAACAGAAAAGCACACTTTTCAAAACAGTCTTCTTTTAGTGTGAATATCTGAGTATTACTAAAACTTCTATAACCAGGCAAAAGGGAGAAAGGTGTCTCTTCATCAAATGAATTGGCATTAGTTGTCAGAACAATTATATATAATAATTATTATATTCACCCCAAACCTACTATACCTGTAGCATATAACAAGTAAGGGATTTGATTTTGTATGCAAAACTGAGAGTATTTAACTTCTACATAGAGTATTTAACTTCTGTCTTAGTAGCATACTATCTTGGTGAATTTAACATTAACATTCAAACTTTGCCTTTGTTTTCTAAGCTGCATGTCTTCCATCACTCCTTGTATGTGGTCCACGTTTTCTTTATTTTCAATAGTTACATCCTTTCCGTAGGCCCAGGAAGCCTGATTGGAGATCTGATCCAGGAGACCTTGACCTTTTTCTCGTAAGCCTTGTAATCCCACATCTAAAACAAATGACACCAGATTGAATCTCGTAACAAGGGTATGTCCTCTTCAGCAGCTGGACACGGGTGCCAATGCAGATGCTTTAGATACTGACACGCCAGGACGCAGACCTCTCACTGCCTCAAGCAACAGAACCTTTAAATGGGGCTCAAAGTGGAACGCTTCCTTCTGTTGACAACTTTTCCATAAAGGGAAGCTTTGAAACACAAATCTGCACAGATGATGACTCTTAAAAACTGAAAGTATAGGAATCTCTATTTCAACAAATATGATTTTCTATTTTTCCCTTTTTCCTTTTGTGTTCCAATTTTTAGGGAAATGATGCACATTTTTTAAAAAGATGCATACGATTTACAAGATTTCAAAAATGCTCACAATGTATAATCAAAGTAAAAGGAAGAACACTGTGAGGAGGGCCACTGTGAGGGGGTCACTGTGAGGAGGGTCACTGTGAGGAGGGTCACTGTGAGGAGGGTCACTGTGAGGAGGGTCACTGTGAGG